AGGTGGAGCTAGAATAAACCAGGGCTGCAGTCTCGACTGACAGTCCTCCCAAGTATCTTTTCTCTGTCTCTTGTTTTTTCTTTCAATCCTCACTCCCCCTTTCAGGTACTGTCCATCTTGGCCGGCTGGCACCGGCAGGTTGGGTTGGGGTTCTTTACCCACTTCCCATGTCTCTTCTGGGATTTTGTCTGGTTTGAGCTTGCAGGGGCCTTGTGCATGCTGTCATCATTGAACAGCCCCTTTCAATCCCTCCCAAGGCATGATGGGTGGAGGTGCTTCTGCCCATTTTTTTTGTAGGGTAGACAATACACTATGGGAGAGAGAATAGAGGAGCCACACTTACAGGGTGTGCATGGACCTGGAAGAGGAAGGGTGAGGATGGGATGGCAGGGTGCATGTGTAAAGCATGAAGGCATGTATAGGAACAGTACAGTAGTGCCACCAGGCCCCTTCTCAGTCCAATCTTCTCTCAGTTTTACTATCAGGGTTTAAACTGCTAGATAAAGATCACATTAATGATGAAGTATTAAGAGTCTTGCCTTAAAGCCAGACCTCCATGTATGTATCATAATCATTCCACTAAGTTCTCAGTGTGAAATAGGAAAATTACCATGTGGTTCTAAGCCATACACGACTGACTTATACCAAAGATAGTCTTAGTTCACTTTTATGAATTCATGTTCAAAATGCATTAGTTGTATCTCTTACCTTGTTTGTTCCTTGGATCATTCATTTTTAGACCTGCCAACCTCTTCATCATCATCTCTTGAGCTCACACTTAGGTGACAGTATTACCTTTGAAATGAGGTTCCCAGGCCTGAAGACCAGATGGAAACAAATCTATTATGACTAAAACTGCTCATACACTCAAAGTCATCATTGTGGAATCTGGGGAACAATGGTCGCAGTCTTACTATACCATTGTCTCAGACTGAGTTTATGTGGTGGCACGGTTGATTTTCTTCCCACATACCCTCCCTAGAGTTTTTAGAGATAGCTATTACACTTTCAGTCAGGTGCCACACAGATTTGGTGTTCCCTGTTCTGACTGTACAATGTCAGGTTTAGCCTACTAGTCTTGGTGATTTACATACCATATTTCAACTTCCTCAGTCATTTTCAAAAGTTGACTGTGCATACCACCTACAAACAGTAAATATATCTTTTTATGTCTTCATCTGAATCATTAGTACAATGTTGATTAAAGACATTGTCAGAGGGCTGGGGAAATGGATAACTGGGTATAGTTCCTGCTCCACAAGATTGAGGATATGAACCCATGGGATCTCTAGAACCCATGTAAAAGCTAGGCAAGGCAGCACATGCTTGTAACCCCAGCATTGAGGGAGAGGGTGAAGACAGGTAGAACCTGGGAGGCCTGTTGGATAACCAGTCTAGCCCAAACAATAAGCTCTAGCTAGGGTCAGTGAGAGAACCTGTCTAAAAAGTAAGGTGACACAAGTGAGGAAGACATCCCAATGTTAGCTCAGCCTCTGGTCTCCATATGTGCCCATGCAGGTGACACACCTACACATATGCTTATATACACACACAAGAGATAGAGATAGAGAGATTGTTAAGGCTAAATCCAAATGATATTACAGGAAAGTCCCACTTGGATAATGGCCTGATATCTAAGACACTAGCATGTTTATTCTGCTTGTTCAACCAGCCATGAGTCACACAAAGATTGCATCTCTCATATTAATAAAAGGGTGTCATAAGAATTGTTTTCTGACAACTCTTAACAGAGTGTCATCAGATGGGCTAAAATCATGATCTAACATGACTAATTGCTTCCCTCTGATCTACCAATAAAATGATGCTCTCATAAAAGAAATTAGGTTAATTTGGCTTATTCTCTATATGCCATGGGAGCCCTGCTGGCCACTGACACATGTTTGAAAGGCTCATAGTCATCTATTTAAACATCAATTCTTCAGTTTTTCTAGAGATTGTGTCATGATTAGTGCTGGACAATTTTTGAAGGATAATTTGGATGAAAATTGGGACATATGCTTTGAAGGGAAGGGTATCTCTCTCTCTTGCTTTCCTGGTTATTCAGATTACCAATCATGTTCAGGGAATGCATTTTCAAGCTGAGTTTTTCATGTGTAGCTCATTGTAACTCAACTCCACAGGCTTAGAGGATAGCTTCTCACAGTGTTGAGGCACACAGATCCAAGAGCTGAAGTCTCAGCCTGACACCATGGTATATGCACACCTGTACTTCAAGCTACTCAGGAGGCTGAGGCAGGAGGGTCAAAAACTCAAGGCCGACCCAAAAAACTTGTCTCAAAAGAAGTTGACACTCTACCAACTTTATGTCTTTGGTTGAGGGCATTAACCTTAATGTTTTGTTTTAGTTGTTGTTTTAATTTTTTGAGACAAGAGCCTCATGTAGTTCAGACTGGCTTTAAACTCACTATGTAGCTGATGCTGTCATTGAACTCTTGATCCTCCTGCCTCCACCTCCCGAGTGCTGGAATTATAGACATGTGCTGCTATGCTTGGCTTTTAAGCTCTGAGTATCA